TCTCAGAAAATAATAGTCATTTCTGTATTAGCAATTTAGAAATATTATAGAATTATTTGAGCATCTCTACGATAAAATGACACTTATCAATTTTTTATTGCAACTGTTAATCATGAATCTGTCTACTAGTCCCAATTCATTTTATTGCAGATTTAAACGGTTTTATCGTCAGCAATTAATTACCATCTAAGGTTTGTTGATTGGGCATAAAAGACAATAATTGTATGGCAAGAATAAGAAAAATGTTTAGGGCATACTAAAAATAAATTTTTCCTTGAGAACAACTATGGGTTACCTGTTAATAATGTGTAATGATGTTTTGAACGAGAAGTTTACCGATAATTTTTAAAATATTGTGAAGGTTTTCCCCCAGAATGGGGAAGAGAACTGAGCGACTCAAAGCCGACTGTAATATTTCCAGCACAACACATCGAAAAGGTGATTTGTTAATGTTTTAAGTTTGGTGTTGGTGACTAGATATTCGAGAGGTTGATTCCTCATATTGCGAGTACTGGCAAAAACAGATAAGTCCGAAATACTTTAATGAAGTGTTTAGCAACTTAGAGTTCAAAAAGGTAAAAAAAAGAAACAGCAAAATCAACTCTCAGCTTCAAAAAGACAAGGAAAGGATACTCCATGATAGTGTTTTTCAAGAAAAAAAGAGGAGCTAGATGCTCAAATCACTGATTGAATCTGTTCTGAATAGATGATCCTCTGAAGCAAATTTTGAAATTGTCTTTCCGCGAAAAATAACTTGCACTATGTACCACGAGTACTTCAAATTTGCTCTAAATAAGATGCATAAAAGTTCATTTGACTAAAATAAGCATTACCAAAAAGTAGTTTTTGGTTCGCCCGTTTGAGTGATATTTTATATTGCAATTCATGTTCCTTGTGCACATCATTTTTTTGCAGAAGAAATTTGCCTAAACTTCTTCAGATACTTTTTAGCAGATATGTAAGAAAGGATGAGCTAGCGTTCAAGATACCTTCAATTAGGTCTCTTATTTTGAGAAGCCACGATCCGATCAAGTATCCTTGTCGACCACATCTTGATTTTATTTGAAATGAGATTTAACAAAAATTAGACTTTTTTATGCAGTGTCAGCGTATAATTCCTCAATTTCGAAAAGTCGCTGTATAAAGGAAACGATGACTGTTTTCACACAAAAATTATCAAATTATGATAATCCGCAGGAAGAATTACAGTGTGTTAAATTAGATTGATTAAATACTAGATGTAGCAGATGCAATTCAGCACCATCAAAGTTTGTATATATTTCATCTCTAGTGCAACATCTCAAGCTACTCAAGTTTTATTATTCTTTGCCGGTTATACACTCATTGAGCAGAGCAT